TTAGCCAGTGTGTATTCTGTAGACCAAAAAAACGAAACGTAAGAAGCTCTGAAATTGGAAGTGCCGATCGAATTCACGAAGAAACCAGAGACGTGCCAGAAACATGCAAGTGCCGATCGAGTCGCCGCCTCCACCGCCGGATGCCAAGTCGCCGATCTGCACGCCTCCAGGTAATTATTCATAGCCTTCCCTTTCCAATTTTGTAATTTTTATTTCTTAAATCTTAATTTTCTTTCGTTGTTTCATTTTTTAGATTTAAAATCTAGGGTTAGTTATTAGTTTTTAATTTGAAATCTTTTCTAATTAAATTTTTTGAAATAGAATGAATGAATGGTTCTATATGTTACTCTGTATTTATTTGATTTGGATGAATTGATTTGAATTTGTTATTTATGATAATTATATATTTATATTAAAATACACTGAAAACCGGAAAAAAAATTAAAAACTAAAAAATTGTTGAATTGATATGAATTTATGATTTATAAAAAAATTAAAACTGAAAAAGAAAAAAACAATTAAAAAAAGAAAAATTGACGAATTGATATTAATTTATGATTTATTTATTTATTTATTTGCTTGCTTTTTTCATTTTTTTATTCTTGATTTTATTTAGTAGAATTTATGATTTTGGATTTTATTTCAGAAATAATTCAATAGCCATGGCTCCTAAACAATTATCCGGTAGTCAAAAAAGAAAAAAGAGAGCATAGACTGTGAAGATGTGATCAACCAATTTGCTCTCAAGAATGCAAGGAGAACTTCTCGAATTCTCGGCTAGCTTTTACGGTATGTAATTATAATACTCTAATTTTGTCATTTATTTTTGTAAAATTTGCACTAAATAGGACTAAAACATAATAACTTTTTCAATCTAGGACTTAAACTTTTTTATTCCCTATATAGGACTTAATAATGACCTAGTGGGAGGATTAATATCCAGCAATGATGGACATTTACTTGAATAATGACTCATTAATAATGACCAAAAGTCCTACATTGGGAAATAAAAACATATAGTCCTATATTGGAAAACTCATTATGTTTTAGTCCTATTTAGGTAAATTTTTATTTTTTTCTTCTAATAATATTGCATTAATTATTATTTAGATATAATTAGTTTACATATGTGAATTTTTTAGACCATTAAATATAAGACTTTTAGGGTCTTTTTTCTGTTTCGGCCTAGGCTGATGAATACTCAGGACCGGCCCTGCGACCAACCCCATAAACAAATATGCCAGAATAAGGTGCGACGATGCAACTAACCCCATTAACAAATATGCCGGACTGAGACTCGACTATACGACCAAACTCACAAAGAAACATGATGAACATATGACTAGTTGCAACAACATAAGCAACCAAAATGACGTCATCAAATGTGTCATCAGAACTTGGTGAAGAGAATACTGGGCATGAAAACCTTCTTCCACATAGTACAAACAAAGCCATACAAAACCAACAAATTCTTGAAATTAATGAAACAGAATCACAAGCAACACAATCAATTGAAAAATTACGGCATATTTGCTAACGTTTGGCCAACCACACAATAGTTTGGAAATTAATTGTTAAATATATTGTATATATTTAATATATTGTATTATTCCCTTACCTAATTTGGTACCCCCCTCCCCCACCCAAAACATAATCTCGGGAAAATGGCTCTTTAGACACAAACTTGGCCCATCAGGTGAGTTATCCAGGTACAAGGCCCGTTGGGTGGTCCACGGCTTCAACCAGCGCTTTGGCGTCGACTACGACGAGACCTTCAGCCTCGTTGTCAAACCTGCTACAGTTCGCATCATTCTTAGCATTGCTCTGTCCAGAGGATGGCCCATTCACCAGCTAGACGTCAAAAATGCCTTCCTCCATGGTCAGCTACAGGAGACAGTTTACGCCAGTCAGCCTTCCGGGTTTCAGGATCCAGCTCGACCTCACTATGTTTGCCGACTCAAGAAGGCTCTCTATGGACTCAAGCAGGCACCGCGGTCGTGGTATCACAGATTTGCCAGTTTCATTCAGACTATTGGGTTTCGAGGGTGCAAATCGGATACCTCACTGTTTGTTTTCTCTCATGCCATGGGCACTGCCTATCTACTCCTGTACGTTGATGACATTGTTCTCACAGCATCTTCCACAGCACTCCTCCAGCATCTCATCCAGCGGCTAAAGGCCGAATTCGCTATGACAGACATGGGGGACCTACACTTCTTTCTTGGCATCAACATACACAGGACGACTAGTGGCCTCTTTCTTCACCAGACACAGTTCACTCATGACATACTTGAGCGGGCCGGGATGGTATCTTGTCGCCCCATCTCCACCCCAGTGGACACAAAGGCAAAGCTCTCCTCCTCGTCAGGCACTCTGCTCCCCGATCCTACTCTTTATCGATCTGTTGTTGGAGCCCTACTGTATCTTACATTTACTCGCCCTGACATCACTTATGCCGTCCAGCAGCTTTGCCTACACCTGCATGCCCCCCGTGATGCTCATCTCACAGCCATGAAGCGTGTCCTACACTATCTCAGTGGCACCTCCACCCATGGCATCCACCTGGCACCATCCTCCACCGACTCCCTGCAGGCATATTCCGACGCTGACTGGGCCGGTTGCCCAGACACCAGACGTTCCACCTCCGGATACTGTGTCTTTCTGGGTGACAATCTAGTCTCCTGGTCCTCCAAGCGCCAGGCTACCACTTCACGTTCCAGTGCCGAAGCCGAGTATCGCGCCGTGGCCAACGCCGTAGCAGAGACGAGCTGGATCTGGAATCTACTTCTTGAGCTGCAGCAACCCCTTCGGCGAGCCACCCTTGTTTTTTGTGACAACGTCAGTGCTGTGTATCTCTCGACAAATCCTGTGCAGCACCAGCGCACCAAGCACGTGGAAGTTGATATTCACTTTGTCCGTGACAAAGTAGCACTTGGTCATGTGTGCGTCCTCCACGTTCCCTCGTCTTCGCAGTATGCTGACATCTTCACTAAGGGACTGCCTTCTTTATTATTTCTGGACTTCAGACAAAGCTTGGGAATCAGACCTCCTCCACATCCGACGTAGCCGGGAGCATGTTAAATATATTGTATATATTTAATATATTGTATTATTCCCTTACCTAATTTGTATAGGTTTCCTTACTTGTGTCTCTCCTACCTTGTTTAGGATTGAGACTCCTCTTATATATATACATGTAATCACAACTCTTTTGATCAATGAAAATCATAATTCTTCAATNGTTCCCTCGTCTTCGCAGTATGCTGACATCTTCACTAAGGGACTGCCTTCTTTATTATTTCTGGACTTCAGACAAAGCTTGGGAATCAGACCTCCTCCACATCCGACGTAGCCGGGAGCATGTTAAATATATTGTATATATTTAATATATTGTATTATTCCCTTACCTAATTTGTATAGGTTTCCTTACTTGTGTCTCTCCTACCTTGTTTAGGATTGAGACTCCTCTTATATATATACATGTAATCACAACTCTTTTGATTAATGAAAATCATAATTCTTCATTAATAACCATCAAACAGGCAGAAGAACAACATGAGTAACAACAGACAGATTTTGATAAACGAATGAGGGTGATGCCGGTGGCGGTGTCAGAAGCTACACTAAACTATAACAAATTTCATAATTGGTGTGAAATTGATTATATCACAAATACGGTTAACACAATTACACAAACATGTATGTTGGTTTGTTGGGCATCAATGTTTTTTACAAACACTCCTTTTAGTCAGTGTAAGGAGTCATTTGATCCATGTAAATTCAGTTCAATCAAATTAATTCTTGTAACTAGGGAACATGAATGAAATTATGTTGGTCATGTGTGAATGAATTGTCCTGTAACGGAGGTTAAGTAGGTCAAGTCATAATCGAATGTCGTGAGTGCTTGTGTGTGCAATGCACTATAAAGTTAAAGTATGCGCTTCTTCTAACACCAATTGGTTTTAGAAAAATTAGTAGCGCCTAAGGTCCTACAAATTAGTCCTTTGTACAAAATCCTATACATATATATGTAAAGTAAGGTTTATTTCTTGGAGTGTGCACATGTGGCATGCCACATGTGCATCCATATGTGCATTCATTAGTGACATGGATGAATTTCATTAGTCCATTTAATTATTTAAAAAGATCTTTCAACACATTTTATTGCATTACTTTCAATAAATATTATATTTTAATATTAAAAAACATTACTTTTATTATACTTTGTATAAAAATGTCATTTTTTAACAATTTTATAAACATATATATCATCATTGCAAAATATTTTGTATAAAATTTTTGTTTTAAATAAACATACTAATATATATTCCACCAGTTTAAAACATATTTTGTTTACACAATTAAATTATATCTTTAAAATGTTTTGTAACTTTATCAATATTTTGAAAAATAATGTTTTAATTTATATCATTTTTAAAAACAATAAATCATTTCTCTTTTACTTCTTTGAAAGAAAATACTTATAGAATCTTTAGTGCATCTACATCTATATTTAAATTATATTATTTGAAAAAAAAGATATATATTAGAGTTAAAAAATATTCATCTAACACATATTGTGTCACTATTAGAAAATTAAAATAAATAAATTTATAATTATAGAATGTATACGAGCCCGTGCGAAGCACGGGGTTAACACTAGTTTATCTTCTAAATTGTTAAGTTAATATGTTAATTGATCCAAAAACAAATAGGCAAGAGCATTGAGCATTGAATTTGCGTCAATTAACGAAATTAACGCGAAGACCAGCAATTTTAGAACATAACCATAAGTTCCGTTCAAAGGACACATAGGGACTAAAATTAGCTGTTTAAATAATTTTAACGCCAAAAATAAAGCTAAACTTTCAAGCTATATAGAAAATTTCAATGGCTTTACAAACTCCCTACCAAAGAATGACAATCATCAGAATAGTACTAATCTAAATCATTCCAAAAAAAAAAAGAAGAAAAAGAAAAAAAGAAATCTGTCTTCCTCCACGAAATTCTCAATCCTCATTAATCAGAACCTCTGGATTTTATCGGGCCTCACAGCCGGATTTTCCCTGGCAATGGCGACCCGACCCGCGGCCTTGAAATCAAAGGTGCAGTTGTGCGTCTCAGGGTAGCGGTGGGCCACACAGAAGGCGAACCCGCACTTGCAATTGAACGCCACCAGCCCCATCTTCTTCCGGCAACTCCCACACCTGTTCGAATCGCACGGCGGCGGCAGCGCCTCTCCGGCTGAATTCGCCGAACTGACCGGCCACGCGAACGCCGGATCTCTGATTTCGGCTCCGAGATTTGTGGTCAGCGCGAGCTTCTCCATGGCGGAAATCGCCAGATCTACCTCCTCGGGGCGGAGATCCGCCGTCAGCGCGAGCTCCTCCATGGCGGACGTGGCCCTCTCCACCATCTCGGCGGTGTAGCACTTGGAGCAGAGTCCGTTCGTCGCCGGTGATCCGAAAAATCCGCATCCCTTATTGCAGAGGGAGGGAAGTCCGGTCCCGGCGTTCGTCCAGTTCTCGTTCCATCCCATTTTTCTTTACTCTTCTTCTTCTACGGCGAGTCTTTGTTGAATTCCGGTGAAACAGTGGAAGCAGAGGATGGGGAAGTCAGTGTATATATAGAGAGAGTATAGAAAGCCGGTGGGTGGGGTGGGACTATGTTTTCCAATCCCTAATAGGATAGGACTATCCACAATCTCTTTTTCTTATAAATAATGTAAAATTTAAACAAAAAAAAACTTGTAAATTAAAAGTTTGCCACCAAAAAATATTAATTCTAAAACAAAAAAAAATATTAATTCTAAAGCAAAAAAATATATTAATTCTAAAAAAAAGTATAATTATAAAAATGAGGATAAAGAAAAGATATTCGTAATATTATTATTAATTTAAATAAGATATACTTTGATCGTTCTTAACTTTTGAAATATTTTGGTTTACTTATTCTTAATTTGTTTCATGTAATATTTATGTTGTTTCATCATAATGTAAAAGAAAAAAATGGAGGGAGTGACCCCTGAAACTCTCGCCTTTACTTCTGCCCCCGTCATTTTTATTTCTAAATCTGGCAGTAGGACAATTATAAAAATTAATAAGTTGTCTGGACTAGGCACATTAAAGAATACATTATCAAAAAAACAAGACAGAAAAATACAAAAAGAAGTACTACATTCATCACATAATATTCATTCAATTTAAGTTTTTTTGTAGTCAAAATAGTTAAATTTTAACTACGGAGTATTAAATAAATAAAACTTTATTTAAAGTCAAATAAAATTTATATTAGTTATTGAGGCCAAAATAATTTTATTAGATAGATCTAGTAAAGTATTTTCAAAACATGTTTGACCTTCAAATGACCTGGGGTACCTACGATGAGCTGCCCAATCGATGACCTTCAAATGACCCGGGGGCAAGGTAGGTGGGGTGTAGGGGGATTTTGGGGGCGGAAGTTAGCAATACGAATCATTAATTTTACCAACAGAACATCGTAAGTGCTTCAAAATACCAAGATCATTTAAGGTTATTTTTAGCCAATTTTAAAAGATCGTTAGTGTTTATCTAATTAATACGGAGTATATTATATAACTTTTTTAAATAATAGATCAAATATCAATATCAGTTGGTCGTCAAAAGTCAAAATTAAATAAATAATCTAAAACCAAGAATGTAATATTTTTCTCAATCTCACAACAAAAGTTAAGCTCATTAACTCTGTACTTTATGGAGTGATATCATTATGGAGCATTGTGTTTGTTAGTTTTTCCAAATAAAGTTATGAATGAAGAACAGTGCAAACTTTTTGTAGAAATTTCATATAGAATGCTTCTCAATATCTCATATTTACTCTAAGGGTCCGTTTGGTATACGGAATTGACGAAATCTGAATTGAATTAGAATTGAAATTCCACGTGATTCAATTCCATAGAATTGAATTCTGCCAATTCCAATTCATTTTTTGCACTATCAATTCCAAATCTACATAATTTTTCTGCTACTAAACACCAGAATTGGAATTGAAGTTCTCAATTCAAATTCCATAGTTTGAATTCCGTATACCAAAGGGGGCCTAAAGGAAATGAAGTATGATGATTGTGAGCATCACCACCATCACGGTCACGAAGAGGGATGCACACTTCCCTCCTCATTCTGTGCTGAGGTAATCGATCACATTAAAAATCACAGCACACTACAACACCCACACCGATCAACTTTAACGATATGTGTAATGTTAGGGATATACTACGTATCAAAAAGTGTATCTTATTTATACATCATTCTTTTTAATCATACATTTTTTTTATTTATTTATTATTTTTTTAATCAAAACTTAGTTGGATGCGTGGTAGAAATACTTTGTGGTATACGAGTATATTTTAGTACGTGTACCCATCCATAAAATTTTTGTAACAATATTCTAAAATACATTTTGAAGTACATTGGCTAAAAAAATTTAATACTTCAATTTTTTTTAAAATAACAAGGAAGTATTTACTATTTAGGTACTTATTCACGTGTCAACTTTTTGAGTGGCGGGTATCTATACCCACTTATTTGAGAATAAAACATAGAAAACATGCATAAATAATAATTTTATATTTTTTATTTCTAAAAAATGAGTTAAAATGTATATACAAAGTCAATCATGCCAAAAATATATTACTTCTTCTGTCTCCAATTTGATTACAAATTGGGATTTACGAGAAGAAATATCTCACTTTTTGAAATCATTTTATTTACAAATTAGTATATCTATAAAAAAATAAAAATTATACATTAAAAAATTACGTCAAAAGTTCTACAAAACAAGATGTGACAAAAATATTTTATTTGATCAAATATTTGATAACATCGCGTAAACAAATAAAAGTTATCGAGAGAAGAAAGAAAAATTTTTTAATCAAATTGGGGACGAAGATAGTATAAAATATTCATATATATACAACCTCATATTATCACAATGCAAACTTTTAATTTAACAATAAAAATATTAATCTCTTAGTTTAATATTTTGTGCACATTTTACTTCTATTTAAGATGGTTTTTTATATTTGGGTGGACACCATAGAAAAACCCTTTTGAATATCATTACTCGTGTTTAGGAAACTTTTACCTAAAGAAATTCAGACGAAGTAAGTGAGAACAAAACACGGATATTTTATTAATTGCTTTGTAGACTTCCTAATGTTACTCTGTATTACTGTAATTATCAGTCTTCATATCTCTTGGATTATGAACGAATCTTTATTTTTATTTTATGTGTTTCAAATTTCAACAAATAAATTCGCTCTATTTCGTGAAGATTTGACATTATCATTTATTCTTTTCACATGTTAGGATTAAATTAACTTGTTATGAAAACACTCAAAATAATTGCTGCACAAAAAAAACATTACAAAATACTACTCGGTATTTTCGTTACAATACATTTATCCAATTTGATTTTTTAAAATTAAACTGGACAATTTTTGAAAGAGTCAAATTAAACGAATGAAATAATTAAGGAGAATTATGTCGTAAACAGTGAATTTATATTTATATTACTCTGTAAATAAAATACGTAGTATGGCATTAACAAATTTAGATGAAAAATATGAATATAATCCTACTTAGAGAGTGTGAATTTAACAATACCCATGCTATAATTGTGGAAAAATAAACCATTAAGGAGTTTAAGAAAAAAAGAAAAAGAAAAAAGAAATCGTCTTCTTCTACGAATTGAAATTCCATAATTCTCGTAATCAGAATCTCTGGATTTTATCAGTCTTTACCAGCGGATTCGCCTTGGATATTTCGACCCGACCCGCGGCCCGGAAATCAAAAGTGCAATCGTGCGCCTCCGGGTAGCGGTGGGCCGCACAGAAGGCATAACCGCATCGGCAATTGAACGCCACCAGCCCCGTCCTCTTCCGGCAACTCCGGCACCTGCTGGAACGGCGCGGCGGCGGCGGCGGCGACGCATCTCGCGCTGAATCATCCGCCGATTCGACGACCGGCCACACGAAAGCCGGCTGTCTGATTTTGACCCTGAGATCTGTCCCCAGCGAGAGCTTCTCTAGGGCGGAGGCGGCCTGCTCCGCCATCTCCGCGGCGGCGTAGCACTTGGAGCAGAGCCCCTTCGTCGCCGGCGTTCCGAAAAACCCGCATTCGTTCTTGCAGAGGGACGGCGCCGGGAATCCGGCCCCGGCGTTTGTGGTGTTCCCATCGGATCCCATGTCGAATTATCACTTCTCCGGCGTGTCTCTGTGAATTCGTTTGTGGTTTGTGTAGCGAAGGAGAGGAAAGAGGTGAAGTGAGGATATATAGAGAGAGGGATGGGAGTAAGCAAAGGTCGGTGGTGAGCATTTGGACTGACTATTTCCTTTCGCTAATCGGACTACATTAAAAACTAGAAGTTGCCCAAACAAGGTACATTAATGGATAAGTTTTCCAAATAATAATATCCAACCCCTACTTCGCACCAACTCACATATATTCAAAATTTTGCTATTTAAAATAAAATATCATTTATTTTAAATTCTTTAATAATGATACATGATGTACTCCGTATTTGATAAATAAATTCTAACTGTTTTAATTTTTTATACAAATGTAATGGTCATCAAATATAATTAGTAAAAATCATTTTAATTAATAAAAATATTAAAAATGATTTCATACAAAATTAAATATGCATGTGCGTAGTGGCATGTGTCTTGTGATTTACATGTGGTATGACACATGTCAGTAGTATGCACGTGTGGCATGACACGTGTCATCATCACAATTTACAATTATGTAACTCTCTTTTACATATATATATATATATATATATATATATATATATATATATATATATATATATATATATATATACACTAGTATTTGGACCCGTGCGAATAAACGGCACCGAACAAAAATTTATCGATTCTGAATTTTTTGAAAGAGATGGTGAAGGGTAAAGGTCTGATCGATTGGACCGAAACCCGAGCACGACCCTAATCCAGTTATTGGTTAAGCCTGTTTGACCATCAATGTGTCCAAACCTGTTGATTCTGCGACTTAATGGATAGTGTTTCACATTTATTTATATGAGAGTAGTGTTTATACTATTATTCAGATGTGGGATGAATCCCAACACTCCTCTAAAGTGGTAACTAGCCTGGTATAGTTACTATTTGGATGAATCAATGGGTCTAACATACATCTCAATCACTTTATAGCTAGCTCGATGAATACGAGGATGAATCAAACTCAAACCAAACCTGGCTTTGATACCATGTTAGATTTTTAATGGGCCAAGTGAACTAGGGGGAGTATTGGGTGAATGAATGGGTCTAGTTACAATTTGGATGAATCCTAACACCCCTCTCAAGTGGTAGCTAGCATAGTCTAGTTACTATTTGGATGAATGAATGAATCGAACCGAACCTGGCTCTCATACCATGTTAAAATTTTGGTGGGCCAAGTGAACAAGGAGGAGTATGGGGTGAAATTTGACCACTTACCCATATTAGGTCCGGATTCACATTCTATCCAAAATAACTTTATTAAGTTTTGAAGGTTATTATTAGTAAATTTTTAAAATATGAGAAGGTATTTATAGTTCAAGTAATTTTTTATAAATATTGGACAATGGTCAAACATTAGACCGTTGGGGGGGGGGGCATGCAACGGCTTTCCTACCTCAGGCTGCGTTAAACGTTTAACGCAGCCAGGATAACGCCAAGAAAATGTCCCTTTGGGTGGTGTTTACTGCCCCCAATGCGTTAAAAGCGCAAAAACATCTCAGGCGTTATGACCATTTTCGGTGGCCTAAGAGTAAACATAGGAAAATATACAGAAATAGAAATCTCATATTTTTATTCCTGAAATAAAAGTTAAAATGCATATACAATGTGATCAATCAAGCTAATTTACATTGCCAAAAAAATATTGTAAAATGTTTATATATAGTATTTCAGTGTAAATTCTTATTTAGAAAATAAAATTTTGAAACTTTTATTTTGATATTTTTCACACGTTTTACTTATATTTGGATTGTTTTCTTTTATTTGGATGGACACCACAGAAAAAGCCCTTTTGAATATCATTACTCGTGTTTAGGAAATTTTTTACTAACACTATGTTTGGTTCAAGAAATTTGGAAGGAAGAGAAAAGAAAATGGTTTTCTCTCATTTTTCCTCACCAAAATGAGAGGAAATTGGTTTTCCCTCCATTTGGTGTATTTTGTCTTCCCAGTTTTTTTTCCTTTCACTTTTTCTTTCTTTTTCGCTCTAACCAAACAAGAAAAATTGTTTTCCATTTCATTTTCTTTTCTTTTCCCTTCCAAATTCCTTGAACCAAACATAGTGTAAAGGAATTAATAAGTTAGAACAAAACACAAATATTTTATTAATTATCATTGTTTTTCGACTTTCGAGAGATAGAAAGAGTTCTCAATGCACATCTTCCTTTTCTTTGGTAGATTTCCTAATCTCCCTCCGTATTTAATTAGCGCGCTTCATATCTCTTGGATTATGTACGAATCTTAATGTTATTTTAATTTTATGTGTTTCAATATATAGATTTGCTCTGACCAAGAATCTTGTAGTCTAATTATAATGCTATAACTCTGTCAAATGAAAAATCATGTGTTCAAACTCTGGTTGAGGCAATAACATTACCAATTTCTATAGACTGCGAATTTATGAACAGATAACGGAGGTAATGATACCATTAATTTATCAATTTTATTTTTGGAGTAGTGGAGGCGCTCAAAATAGGTAAGTGTCATTCACTGAGACTGAACGATAATGTCAATGGAACATTTAAATTAATTATTAGAATTAAATAGATGCATAGAAAATTTATAAATTTTTATTTGCAAAGTAACATACTCTACCTTTTCAAATTTCAAATCATAAGAGCGTCTATTTACACGATTTCGTTTGTGCTTTATTTTTCTATCGCTTTCTACGTTGGATAATGTGTGCAAAAATATAAGTTCGATTTAAATAATTTCTAAAGCTATTACTTAAAGAAACCATTTTAAAATATATAAATCCAGAATTTCTTTATGTTATTTACTTTTTAGTATTTTTAAATTTTCACTTATAAGGAATATTGTTTATTAAAGTTAATTATTAAAAAATTATATTGAAATTAATTTATATTATTAGCTTAAGTTAATTATTTAAAATGGTTGCGGTAAATTGGTGAATTGGCGTATGTCCACTCCTATTTGAAGTAAGAAAAAATATGAAATTAATGCAATATGATGTGATACAAATGTTTAAGAGAGATGATAAAATATAAAAAGCATATAGGATATGCATACAATAATCGTGGAAAAAGAAATCATTAAAGAGTAAAAAAAAAAAGAAATCGTCTTCTTCATATCTCTTCGATTATGTACGAATCTTAATGTTATTTTTATTTTATGTGTTTCAAATTTCAATAAATAAATTTGCTCTATTTCGTGAGGATTTGACATTATAATTTATTTTCTTTTCACATGTTAGGATTAAATTAACTTAATATAAAACAACACAAAATAATTGCTGCACAAAAAAGATTACAAAACACTACACGATATTTTCGTCACAGTATATTTGTCCAATTTGATTTTCTAAAATTAAACTGGACAATTTTGGGAAGAGTCAAACTAAATGAATGGAAGGAGTATTAGGTCGTAAACAGTATTATGTTTTCTATTACTCTGTAAATAAAATATGGCATTAACAAATTTAGATGAAAAATATGAATATAATCCTACTTAGAGAGTGTGAATTTAACAATACCCATACTATAATTGTGGAATAAGAAATCATTAAAGAATTTAAAAAAAAAAGAAAAAGAAAAAAGAAATCGTCTTCTTCTACGAATTGAAATTCCACAATTCTCATAATCAGAATCTCTGGATTTTATCGGGCTTTACCAGCGGATTCGCCTTGGAAATTTCGACCCGACCCGCAGCCCGGAAATCAAAAGTGCAATCGTGCGTCTCCGGGTAGCGGTGGGCCGCACAGAAGGCATAACCGCATCGGCAATTGAACGCCACCAGCCCCGTCCTCTTCCGGCAACTCCGGCACCTGCTCGAACCGCGCGGCGGCGGCGGCGGCGACGCATCTCGCGCTGAATCATCCGCCGATTCGACGACCGGCCACACGAAAGCCGGCTGCTTGATTTTGACCCTGAGATCTGTCCCCAGCGAGAGCTTCTCCAAGGCGGAGGCGGCCTGCTCCGCCATCTGCGCGGCGGCGTAGCACTTGGAGCAGAGCCCCTTCGTCGCCGGCGTTCCGAAAAATCCGCAACCGTTGTTGCAGAGGGAGGCCGCCGGGAATCCGGCCCCGGCTTTTGATGTGTTCCCATCGGATCCCATGTCGAATTTTTCTCTTCTCCGGCGTGTCTCTGTGAATTCGTTTGTGGTTTGTGAAGCGAAGGAGAGGGGAAGAGGTGAAGTGAGTATATATAGAGAGGAATTGAAAGAAAGGTCGGTGGTGTGGTAATAGGCATTTGGACTATTTCCATTCTCTAATCGGACTACATTAAAGGATAAGTTTTCCAAATAATAATGATGTGTTTTCCAAATAATAATGATGTGGTTCCAAAAATAATAATACTCAATAATAATTATAATAATAATAATCATAATCATAATAATTCTCTATCCTAAATTCATTTACAATCTTTGAACAAATTTGTATAATCTTCTTTTTTAAAAAAATTATTTTATCTATAAATTGAAATAAAAATAAAAAGTATAAATTAATATTTATATATACTACATCAAAAGTGCTACAAATTAATATGTGACCAAAAAGACTTTATTTTATATCAAATGACCAATGAAAATACCTGACTAAATAAAAGTTGTCGATAAACTTAAAAAGTATAAGTGTATATTATTTTGTACAGGGGTGAGTAATAATAATAATAATTACGATAACAACAACAACAACAACAATAATATACTCCGTAATATATACATCCTCATATATATACTTTTCCGTCTCAATGTATTTATCTAATTTGACTTTTTTTAGTCAAATAGGAAAAACTTTAAACTGTAATTAAATAAAAATTGTAATTAGCTTAAAAATGGTTTTGTTTGATTTATGTTGTTGAAAAATTTTAAAATTTCATTCCATCACATAATTACTCTGAATGAAATACAAATTGGGAGTAATTAAAGTTCAAACTTTGTCCTGTTTGACTCGAAAAAATCAATTTGAAAAAATATATCGAGTAACGGACCAAGGAACTTTGATAGTGAAGCCAAATTTAGCTATCTCAAAACTTAAAAGAAACATTGCATGAAGGTAAAATTTCACAATTCAGATAATTTTTTGATCTCAATTTACAAACCAAACACATGAATTCATTTATTTAAAAAACAGAATCTTTTGGTAATATAACAATTTCATGATAACAATTTAGTTACACAAAATTTAATTTATTTTTTAAAATAACAATTTTGTTGTCTAATAAGAAGTAATGAATTTGCCCATGACTATAATTTCTAATAAAAAAGAAGTATATATATCAGTATCTATCCGTGCGTATAGTGTAATTTCAAAATTGAGAATTTTGAAAGAGATGGTAAAGTGGTCGGACTAGTGTTGTCGGAACCCAAACACGACCCTGACCCAGTTATTGGATAAACAGTTTGACCATCTGTTAATTAACTACAAAGTGTATCAGCAACTAACCGGTGAGGCGACTGCGATCTCTAATCGATCTCTCTGACTGCAGCCGGCTGTGGCATATTCCAATTCTATCTAAAGCGAAAATTTACCGTTGGCGTGCACTCCGGGGACTTCTACCTACTATTTCGGCTCTCATCTCAAAAGGTGTTTCTCTTGTTGATGTGTGTGCTACTTGTGGTCATGGCTCAGAGTCCTTGGAGCATATTTTTCTTGAGTGCCCTCTTGCTGCAAGGGTGGGGCAGGCTATTTTTGGAGAAAGCAATTAGGGAATGGCATATTCTTTTGTCCACTGGTTTCAGCAGCGCTGTAATTCCCTCTCTAAGAGGGATTTACAGTTCGTGGCCGGTTCAATTTGGACTTTGTGGAAAGCTTGTAATATGGCGACTTGGGAGTTGAGAGTCCTGTCACCGCAGGTCATGATCGCGAGCTGGGTACAGTCTGTTTGCTGCGAATGAGAAGGTATGGCGGTGGGTGGGATGCCTCAGCAGCCCTGGCAAGAGGAGGAACCCCGATCGAATGCTTTTCGTTGTTTTGTTGATGTCGCTCGTGTTGTTCAATCGGGTGGTGTGGGATTTGTTGATCATGCTGGAAGGGTTTATGGTGCCACTAATGGAATGATGATGTGCCCCTCTTATCCCTTATTGGCGAAAGTAATGGCCATTCGAGAGGCCTTGTCGTGGCTGAAGTCTAGAAGAGTAGTGGATGGGGACCTCCTCTCGGATTGTCAAAGGGTGGTCCAGGCCATTCAGGATCGCTCTTTTACTTCTTTATCCTACTTTGGCTCGCTTATTGAGGATTATCGGGTGTTGGGCATGGAGTTAATTGTTGTTAATTTTCTTTTCATTCCCCGCTCAAAAAAAGTTGTTGCCTATACTTTGGCTAGGAAGGCGGAGGTTTCTTCTGGTGTGTGGATCTCCTCCCCTCCGGAAAACTTTATTTCACATATTCTCATGAATTAATATTTAGCTTCGTTCAAAAAACTACGAAGTGTTAGTTTTTTTTTTTTTGCATTTATGTATTTGTATCATATTTACTTTACAAACTTTCAAAATAGTTCGAAAATGAATTGCGCATTTTTTATTTTTATTTAAATATGAACATATTCATGGTATATTTACTTTGTTAAAATATTGAGGCATTTCAATCAATTAAGTACTCCGTACTTCGTATGAATTTTAAATTGTCAATAGTAAATAAGAATACTTTATTCAGTCTTTATTATTTGAAAATATGAGTATTGCCTTATCGTTTAAATATTTGTTAGACATTAAGTTTAATTTTTAATAATAAATAATAGAATTAAAAAAAAAGAGTAGAATTGCATAATTGGTCCTTTATAAAAGGTCGTTTTTCTCTTTAGTCCTCTATTATCAAATATTATCTTGGTGGTCCTTCTTTTATAGGTATCTTTTTAAAAATATTCTTTTTTTATCTACTTTCATGTTGGTGTAAACTGAGAACTAAAAGTGTAATTTGACAATGATAATGTATCTTTCTTGTCATATACAATTCCAAAGGCCGCGATTGTTGCGTCGTTTGTGAATTACAATCGCTTTCTGCTACAACCATAGTCTACAGATGTGGTTGTTATTACAATCGCTTTCATAGTCATTATTTTTATGTTATCCTTCTAACTTCTATCAGGATACATCACTGGACATAAGATTAATGTCAAATTATATTTTTAGGCTTTAAATTAACACCAACATGACCAAAAATCGAAAAAGAATCATTTGTGAAAAGACACATAAAAGAAAGACTACAGATCATAATATTTGATAATAGAGGACCAAATATGGAAATAAACCCCTTGTTGTAAAGGACCAATTATGAAATTTGCTTAAAAAGGTGTAAAAGTAGTGTATGCACAATAATACTGAAAACTAGATGGAGAAGTAAACAAAATATTTATTAAAAATACTCTTTTAATTAAAGTAGTGAAAATTTCTAATAATAACATATACGGAGTAAAACATTACTCCGCATTATTTTAATTTCTAATGGTAGTTGACCACATGAGTCAGAACCCGGACAAGAAACGGGTTTTATTTAAAAATGATATATTAGATATTGATACAAAAATAGTTTTATTAGATTTAATATACTCCCTCCGTCCCCAATTTGATTACAAATTGCGGGTTACGGAGTAAAATTTCTTACTTTTTGAAATCATTTTATTTACAAATTGGTATATCAATAAAATATAAAAATTACATATTAAAAAACTACGTCAAAAGTTCTACAAAACAAGATTTGACAAGAATATTTTATTTTATCAAATACTTAATGAAATCGCGTAAACGAACAAAAGTTATCGAGAGGAGAGAGAAAAAAATAGTAATCTATTTAGGGACGAAGGGAGTATGATATATTTTCAAAATATTATTTTATCTAATTAAAATATAATATATATTTCATTTAATTCTAAATCAAAAATTGAAAATAATTGTCTAAAAAAAGTTAAAATTGGAAAATACTCCGTGATGAGGTAGTAAAATATTACTACTCCGTATTACAGTATTTGAATTTGTAATTGTAGTTGACCGCATGAGTCAGAACCCGGACAAGAAACGGGTTTCATAATACCCGGCCACATTAGATTCTGCAATTCCGCCGTTCTTCCATATTCATCTTCAGCGTAACCACTAAACCTCTCAGATCTTTGATCGATTTATTGATCTCTCTTGGCCTGGGCAATTTTAATTTGTTAATTTTATTTTATTTATTTTTTCCCAGATAACTTCTATAAACCCTAGAGCTTCCTTCGCCATGGAGGTCTGATCTTTCTCTCTGTGCTCTTAAGATTTTCTTACTTTAATTTTAGCTGGATTTTTAGGGTTTCACGAATTCTTTCCCCCCTGCAGGCTCACAAACGTGTCGAAGAAGACGAAGCTAGTGAAGAAAAGGGAGGGAGAGCAAGAATGGTAAGCACATTCTATTGAATGCTGTAAATGCACATTCTGTTTGAGGAATAGTTTGGGAAAACATTGTGGCGTAGAGAATTTCGTATAATATGACGCTCGTTCGATTAATCGGGGTTTTGTTAACGCATTCGAGAGTGAAAAATGTGCAATTAGAATTTGTTTAGGGGAGAGAAATATCGCGACAGAGATAATCTTTTCATTAAAAGAAAGTGAGGGAAGAGTGAAGTCGCTTATGAGAGAAGCAAGGGAGGGAAGTGTGAAGTTAATATGATGAAGTCCTAAATGAAAAATATGGAGCACCTTGAAAACTATGAACATAAATTATATTGTATATATTCTAATCGAGTCAATAGTAGTAAAAAAAACAGACCGTAATATGTTGTCTTGCATAACGGAAATACGAGTGGGGTTCTTTTGAGTTTTGACGTCAAGGACCGGTGTAATAATATGACACTGCGCCATTTGAGGGCCTATGATGCTTTAATTGACTCCGAATATGTTCATATCCTCCTAACCCACGGCTCGCCCACTACCCCCTCCACTCATTTCTCAATTAGGTTACAGTAGTAGCTAAAACCCAGGGATTGGGAAGGTTTGCAGAGGGATTAGAGGGTAGGAACCACTTCAGGTTTGAATGGAGAACCGTAGGGTTCTCAAGTGGCCCGATGTGATATTATGACACCCATGAATGGTGTCAAAAGAACACCACTCTAGATATACATTGTTTTTTTTGGCTGGTGAACTTGTAAGGGAGGCAAAGAAGTAGGTTAATTCGAAGATTCATCCAATGACAATTGTTTCATTTTATCCTATACATCAAGTAATTCATAATTTCACATGTTCAGGAAGCCAAGAAGCAGTCCAACAAACCCCATTTCGTACCGGCAAAGGACGACACCAAGCCTCTTCTACAAGACCCGGTAAGTTTTCCTACCATTTTTCCTAAAACTCCGAAGGAAAAAAATACAAAACTTAGCTCATTTGCGTTGTGTTTGCTTAGATATCGAGGTCAGACCCGATTGAGGCCGAGGAAGCTGTTCTCGTATTGCCTCCTTTTCCGGTTATCAACTAACTCTTCAAACTCTTTGGCCATTCATCTCTCTTAATATATCACATAATCTAATCTGTTTACAGTCAATCCCACAAATGTGTATATTTTGTGCATTTTGTGTTTGAGCCGGTGGTCTCTTGGAAACGGGTCTTCTACTTCCAAGTAGAGGTGAGGTGTGTGCACGCACATCCTTCCCGGATCTTATTTTTTGTGTGTAGTTTTATGGAGTTTGTTGTTGTTTTGGTCGAATACGGTGTCGAGTCAAAGTTTTTTTGGAAGGAAATTGTCTGCAATTTCCATGTTTTAGAATGTGTGAATCAAGATGTTTTTATATTTTTTCCTCTTTACATTTTGATGTTTGTTTAGTTTTGTTGGCTTGCATATATGTTATGGTGGAGGATTATACGCTCCTTTTTGCATATTCTATGGTTCTTTCCTAGATCCTAAGAAGAGAGTAAGTACTTATAAATATAAAATGTGTGGCAAATTTATCATAATTATATGGAGTATCAATCAAGAATATTAGTCAAATATGTAGCCTCCATGATTTTTCTAAGAGACATTTTGGAGTCAATATTTTTGTTAGCGGCATCGTTTTTAAAAGCATTGAGATTTTACAAATTTTTCGATGTGAGACTACTTTTGGAACAGATGGAATACAATTTAAAGGAAAATTATGTACTCATAGTTCTTTTTTTGTTGATTTAAAATTAAAATCAACATATACACTTTACCTCTCAAATTAATTACGCAATACACATTTTTTATCTGTTTTAAAATAAAAAAAGAAAGTTCACATCAGCTAAAAAAACACATGAATACTCTTGCGAATTCACCTCGAGATTTCAAAATGGCTTTCTCATATTACTTACAATGAAGATTTGTAAGTTATTTTCAAGACTATCCTTGAACTTTTACACAAGGCTTAGGCTTTTGATGACTATCTTCAACCATTACAATTTGGTGAAATGTGTATGAACAACAAATAAAAAAAAGTTCCTTAAAAAAAAAACAAATAAAAAAAGTGTTACCTCTTGGCTCATGATAAAGTGATAACAATCAATCCTAGGTAGTGAATACGTATATATACTCTTTAGAAAAGATACAAATTCAACAAATGAATATAAGAGTTTATATCTATGATCACAAGCTCAAGCATATGTAAAATCAAGATTAAAACCAAGGCTCTAACTACCCAAAATATGAAGATTTAAGAACAAGAAGATGAACACACTTAAAATATCGAATATAAAATTTTAGAGTTTGGATAAATGATTAAAATGAGGGTGTATGATCCTATTTATGGATGAATAATGATTTGGAAGGACAATTAAATGCAAAATTTGAAGTTTGATTTGGTGAAAGTTGGAGTTTGATTTGGAAGGGCAATTAAACGCAAAATTTGCATTTTGAAAACACTCCAAACGAATCTCGTAGTGGTAGGTAGTGTCACACGGTAGTAGCTACTGCTACACAGTACACACGACAATGGGAATAAATTCCCGCAGACAATTCCCCAGAGAGAAAATCGGCTTTACTAAAGCCGTTTTTTACATTTTTTTTTTGAAAATTGGCTTTGTAAAAGCCGTTTTTTGTAAAAAAAAAAATTTGGCTTTGTAAAATCCGTTTTTTGTTTAAAAAAATTTTAAAAAATGGCTTTCATGATTTTTTCATTGCATAAAATATACACACTTACGTTTAAAAAAAATTGTGCCATTTCATAAACTATTTTATATAATAAAAAGAAATAGTTTTTATGATTCAATATATAATTTGTTTTAAAAAAAATCAACCAATAAAAATTTAATAAAGAGATGTTCAACAAGAAAAAGAACGCAATATTGAAAACATAAATATATTAAAACATCAACAGAAAATTACATTCTCAACATCTGAAGTAAACAAGAATTACAATACCTTCCCTGAAACAAACTAAAAAAAATATTAAACTAAAATCATCTCCTTGCCCTGAAATCCATCTCGCCCTGGTATCGATTGCGTTGACGTCTCCCTGAACGTGGAATCTCATCTGTTGGCCGTTTGGGAGGTAGAACTTTAAAGTTGCCAACATCCAAATTTTGAGGGAAAAGAACAGGTTGAATTATACCACTATAACAACTCAGATAGTTTTGAACCGAGTACCTAGCCGGTAATATGTTGTGAGGAACTTGTTGTCGAAAAGAGTGGTAAACAGCATGAACATGAACACAAGGTATATTATCGGAAGTCCACTGCCCACAAGTGCATACACTATTAAACAAATTGACCAAGTAGTTGTAAATGGAAGAAGGATCTGTTCGAGATGTGTGAGTCACTACGTATTGGTTGTTACCGTAGCTTGAGACTGTCCACTTGTGCTTAGTTTTCTCCCGATTAAGGAGAACATTTTTAATTTTCGGAGTAATGTGCATGCTCTGTTCTTGCCACTGAATACCAAGCTTGTACCTTTTAGCAAACAATTCAACCATCTTGGCATAGGACATGGATAAAATGGCAGTGACAGGTAACATTCGACAACCTTTCAGCATATTGTTGAAACTCTCAGAACTATTTNTGTTGGATATTATGTGTACTACCAGCGGCCCAAACCAAATTTTTAAGATCACTGTTCCGGAACTTTGTCATGAAGTTGCTCCGAACGTGGCGAAGACAAAAACGTTTCATTATCAATCCGGTCTGTAGTTCTGGAAGGTCACGATAGGAGTTGATGATCCCAATATGTCTGTCAGAAATAATACAGACTTCTTGTGAGCTGATAACCCTCTGAACAAGAAGGCGAAAAAACCAAGCCCAACTCTCACACGTTTCTCCGTCAACAACCGCATAAGCCAGAGGAAAGATTTCACGATTACCATTCATGGCAACCGCAAGAAGGAGATGGCCCTTGTACTTTCCGTACAAATGAGTTCCGTCCACCGTCACTACAGGCATGCAGTATTGTAATCCATGTATTGCCGCGGCGAACGCCCAAAATGCATACTTAAACCGCGGGGTCTCTTCAGGCGTAGCATTAAGGTTTGGTGGTTCGGATGCATAGACAACATCGACTACAGTTCCTGGATAAGAATTTTGTAAATTGTACAACATAATAGGAAGTTGAGAATACGAATTCTCCCAACTACCGTACAACAACTCTATAGCACGGATCCGAGCTAACCAACATTTTTTATACGACACAGGAACATGAAATTCCTGTAAAACATCATGTTGGATTAACTTCACTTTGTACTCAGGATCTACACGTACTTTTCCGACAATGAACCGGGCAATGGAGAAATAATCGATGTTTAAATCATCTCCACCGTGAGAATAATCCGGATGACAAGTGTGCACGTCTCACAATTGTTTTATTTTCTACACTCCAGATTTTAATCCTTGTGCTTGAACACGCCAAAAACAGGGTGGGCTTTTGTTGTAATACCAACACCGACATGCCCATGATCCCGCTTTTTTGTATTCGTTTCGAAAAAAACGATTGTTCGCCACACATTGTTTTGTTACCGCATCCTTAAGTGATTCAAAATTGGGAAAGGTCATACCTATTGCAAGAGGGCCATCAGACACGCCACCAGAAATTCCTCTTACACCAGCTTCAGCTTCCATTTCATGGATCCAATGTTCTTCTGTGTCAATGTCATCGTCCGAAGGAATGTACTCTTCATCATCATCATCAGAGTCAGGGTTGTCAATAACTTCATCTGCAATCGTCTCCCCCTGCGAACGAACACGATCATCACGTCTCGATGGACCGACCTCATCTCCACCCGCACGAGCACTGTGGATGTATACTTCTAGTAAACCCAAGGGAATGGCCTTATGGAAAAATATTTCCCATAACCTATCACTGTCGATGCCCATCAATTTCATCGAACTGATACCGGGGACGGAGTAAGGAATTTTTCCAGATATTTTGGATATAATCCCGTAACCATCTGCAGTATAATGTGATTGCATTTCTTGACAAATATTTTCCCAAGACATACTCGAATTAACAATCAAAGTTTTTTGATATTCCCTTGTGTAGGAAATATCTCCATTACTTTGAATTATTTCTCCTCCCCAATATATGTTTAGAATTTGGTTTTCTAAATAAGACATTTTATTGCTCAGTGTAGTATGTATTAAAAGTGACATGTATGGAGATTTATACATGAAATTTTATATATTTTGGCTTTTAAAAAACCGAAATATTCCCTCTTTTTTTAAATTTCAAAATTCAAATGATTTGGCTTTGTAAAAGCCGAAATATTGACTAATTTTTTAAATTTTCGATATTTTATTTTTTTGGCTTTGTAAGAGCCGAAATTTTACCTCCTTTTTTTAACATTTCAAAATTCAAATTTTTTGGCTTTGTAAAAGCCAAAATCTTTCACACTTTTTAAAATTTCAAAATTCAAAGTATTTGGCTTTGGAAAAGCCGAAATGTTGACAGTTTTTTTAAAATTTCGAAATTTTTTTTTACTGTTAAAGCCAATTTTTTTTACTGTACAAGCATTTTTTTATAATTTCGGAAAATTTTTTTACAGTAATTTTTTTTACTGTAAAAGCAAAATTCAACATTTTTTTAACTGTATAAGCAAAATCAACATTTGTCATCCAAAATTTTTAAGTAATATAACTAGAATTAAAAATTTAGAGGAACAAAATTATTTTAAGTGAAAGAAAGTAGAATCCATTACATGACTGAAAAATAGAAATTACAAATTACAAAAATCCATGATCAAACCAATAATCCATCACCGGCCTGTTATCATAGTCATGCGGCATGGACGAGGATGCGAAGTTATCACCACCCAAATTGCGTGTGTCAAATTGTGTCGCACCAAAAAGATCTTCTTGGGTACTTTGTCCGGGTTGAGTAATGTCAGTTTGTGGAAAATCTGGACCAGTCTCGACCTCGTCAGCATCAAACTCATCCTCGTCTCCATGCATTTCTTCGTCTTCAAGAAGCTCATTTTCATTGTGGCCAAAGTTTTCTAAAGCACCCCTAAGGTTTTCTCGAACCTCTGCTGCAACCGCTCCGGGAACTTTACCGAGTCGACACTCCGCTTTCTTTATTGTATTCACCTGCGAAAAAAATTACTTAGTGAAGGATTTATTTTATTATAAGTAAATATTTATAATTTCTAAATTACCAAGAATGCAAGTTTGGCAGAAGTATTTTCAGATCCCTCTAGAGGTCGATGATATGGGTTTCCAATAATACGCCGACCGTACGTTGCAAACCAGTTAGCATACTCCACGGTAATTTGGAATGGATTCTCTCCTACAATGGGCTCCATTTCATGGAAAACGGTAAGGACGAAGCGATTATCCCTCCATTGCGCCACGCATGCTTGTACCGTCTGGGTCGATTTACATCCCTTTGGTTTATGATAGGCCTCCGTGTACATCAAGCTCAGGCATGGTTTGCAACATCCCAAACTGTCGTGTGAATCGCATAGGCATGACGGGCTCAATAATCGAACGATAAATAACATAGCCTTGGAAAGTCCATCGTTGAGGACTACGACGACAATAAGCAGGCAAGTTATCAATATCGGACGGTTGCCAAACAACCTGTATATTGACAGAACTATTATTAGTCAATCTCTGATATATTTTTTACAAATTATTTTCTAAATTATTTTATGAATATTAATCTTACGTTTCGGAACTGCAAGCAGTCAAGTTCATTCCTAAAGTAGCGTACATTTTGCCTAGCAGAGGCACTGTACATCTTGGTCTGTCTCCACTTGAATAATAATAAATGTATAGCAACTTGAATAAAATTATAGAAAAAAATTATAACATCGATAATCTAAATTAATGTAAATAAATACCTTGCACCAAATGGGTCATCTTCGCGGGGAGGCCCGTGTGTATAATTCGGAACATTATTCAGTATGGGTCTTATGGTCAAAATTTGAGTCCACGCCCATAATTGCAATAGAAGAAGATAACCCCCGGGACGCGTTCGCGGGTTAGTCTTCAACGCAGCCTTACAGAGCGAAAAATTTAATCGCGCTAAAACTGCATAGCCCCAATTAAAAGTAGATGTTTCATTAAAATCTCGTAAGTATCTTACAAAATCAATTGGTGCGTATATACCCGAAGAATCTGGAAATAATAAACCACCCATATAAGCATATATGAGTCTAGCGGTATATTGAGCCACCATCTGATTAGGCCATTCATTATTTGGTTGAATGGTTTGTCCCTCAAAAAGAAGAGCAATCTTGAATTGGTCAAAACGACCAAAATGGGTGTCTTCGGTGTTCCACATCAAAACATCTCTAAATAAGACATTCTGCTCCTCAATATTTAAATCAAAGCCCATGACGGGGAGTCCATCAATCGGAAGTCCTAGTAAGCATTCCACGTCCTGTAAGGTGATACCCATCTCACCGAAAGGAAACTGAAATGCGTGTAGATCCGGTCTCCAACGCTCAACAAGAGAAGTGATTAGACCATGATCTAATCGGATGGGTTGCACACGGTGCACTCCATAAAACCCTGACCGGTGCAACATTTCATAAACTCTATCCTCAAAAAAAAACCGTAGGAAGACTACCTTCGTAGCGAACCGGAGAGACTTTGTTGTCTATAAAATTCGGGTTATGCCACACCTCACGCGAACGATTTGTAGCTTGTAAAGTAAGAATGTCCCTCGATCTAGGACCCGCTATTTCTCTCTCAGGATCATACATTATGCTTCAAAAAAAATTGTAGTGAGCTTCTATTTACTCAAAGTACAATAAAATGGTTAAAAAAATTTTGTTTAAAAAAATATGCATTACATATTGTAAAATTAAAAAAAATGCATTTCACATTGTAAAATTTTAAAAAAAATATGCATTACAAATTGTAAAAAAAAAATATGTATTACATATTTAAAAAACTTATAAAGAATTATTCTAAGAAAACATACCTCAACTTCTTGGATGATTATGGAAGAATAGATAAATTTTGAATATTTAGTGAGAAAAAAAGAGAAAGAATGTAAGATGTAGTTGAAGAGATTATGTATTTTGTGTAAAAATAAGGAAGAAATTTGATTATTTGTAGTGGAATAGGGAGAGGTAAAGTGTGAAAGGGAGAAAGGGGAAGGGAGAGGACTGCACTGCGCATGCATGCATGGTCACTGCGCATGCATTAAAATTTGTGCAGCTGAAATGGCTTTTCAAAAGCCAAAAAAAAAAATTCAAAAAGAAAAAAAAAATTTGGCTTTATGCAAGCCGAAATCCATTAAAAAAAATAAAAAAAAATCATATGGTCAAAAGCCGATTTTCATTCTCAAGAATTTACCTTTCCCACTCAGGAATTATATTCAAAATTTTTTCCCTTTTAGGGAAACCACCCCGACAATGGAAGGTACCGTCATGGACCAAATCAATCTGATGATTACTAGTCAAGTGAGGCTCACAGTAGTGACAAATTAGTAAGGTCCCTACTGACAGAAGGTCCGGAGACATGGTTTTACTTTATTCTATTTTGGCCCAAATCCTTTTCCAATTTTGTTTGAAGTTTTTTGTACATTTAAAAGAGCTTATAAGATGATTTTAAACATGTTTGTGTTGTGACTCTTGTGAGTGCATGTTGAGTTTGTAAATCTTAAAATTAGCTTCCCAGTTTAATTTTCTTGATCAAATATTTCAAACTTTAACCACATATTACGAAAAAAATATATCAACAAATTCATTTTGAGACATAGTTTTGTAATATTTTATTTTTATTACGAACCAAACAAGCATATAGTAGTACTAAAATAAAAAATCAGCAGAACAGTTAGCCTCTTGACCAGAAGGTTGAACAAGTGAACGAAACACGGCCAAGAAAATATTTTAATGCAGCATACAATGTACGGAGTAATATCCATTGAAGGTGAATTGGGCAATAAAAGAACACTACATCGCAAATTCTGAAATTGGGCAGAGCTAGTAATATGTGCAGGCTTAGCTCTTCACCACCAATTTGTGATTAAGCCGAATTTACCTTTTCTGAGATGACCGCCCCCTGGTTTTTTTCCTGAAATTGAGCAAGCCCATTGAGCAAAACCATACAAAGAGTATTATTCACTCATCATTATTATACTCCCCTTTATCATATGCAAGATAGATTTATGTGCGCACGCAGCAGAGCTTACTCTTACTCAAGAGTTTGCCACAATGTCTGATAAAAAAAGTTTTTTTACCCCGTATCTTTGAACTTTAAAGACAAGTAATTTGGATAGGTTGAACGGCATGTTTGGGAATATTGTTAGTGTTTTGGATAAAATTTTAACGGTGCAAATTACTTTGAAAATGCAAACGCTAAACGGAGTAAACACTGCCCGTAAATAGCCTTATCAAAACGCTAACGCTAATCTCTAATGCTATTTCCAAACACGCTCGAAGTTTGAGAGTATTTGAGTTGGTGGAGTTTGAAATGGGAAAGTAGATAGGATTTTGGTATGGAGCATGGACTATAAACAAGTATTTCTAACAAAATGAGCATTTAGAACTCTAACAAGTCATGTTTTGAGCACATACTTTTTCAGAAGACAAAATCAATCCAGAACTTTACATATTGACAAAATCAATCCAATGCTGCTTGAGCCTAACAAACTCTACCAAGTTGTCTTTAACATGTACACTTTTTATTTACACGGGCACTCAAACCGCATATACATTACCTATCTATCAAACTTCACAATGAACATACATTTATAATCAAACTCGCGTCTTTACAGTACCCTCCCATTTAGTCGTAAACACAGACCACTATATCCCACAAATATATATTCCATCCGTCTTATAGAAGAGTCATGTTACACAAAGTACAACAATGGGATACCATCAAATATAACTACTCCACTCAACCCAACATAAACTTTACAGTTTCTCATATTTCCCATTAACACTACGCTTGGTTCAACGAATTAGGAAGGAAAAGAAAAGAAAATGGTTTTCTTTCATTTTCCTCGCCACAATGGGAGGAAATTCGTTTTCCCTCCGGTTAGTTCTTTTGTCCTTCTCATTTTTTCTAGCCAAACAAGAAAATTGTTTTTCATCTCATTTTTTTTCTTTTCCGTTTCAAATTCCTTGAACCAAGCATAGTGTAAGGAAAAAGAAAATGTGACTCACAAAATTGCTCCCCTATGTGAATTTCAACAACTCACTCTTTACTTTTCAACATTTCATTCAAGTCCGTGAAGTCACGGTAAAATTCATTTTGGGAAGAGGAGTATACATTCTGGAGTGACATTTATTTGTTGGTTTAACTAAACCAACACACTCAACTTGCTTGGAACACACCTTTAGTATAAAAACCATTAAGTATGATGAAAATTGCAGAGTACGTTCTTTCATTCAAATACGACTTCTTCGTTTCGATACGTATTGAGTTCTATTTGATCATACTAAATGGTGAAAAACTGAAAATGTGCTTTAAGAAACACATTGAAACTGAGGGGTGAATTTTTACCTGTTTCGGGCTTTCTATGCGCGCGAAGGAATCATCCCTGTCTTCCTGGCGTAAGCAAAAATCCCACCCGCATCAATCACAGGCCCAGCATCTCCAATGGGTTTCAGTTTGTATTCCTTCCCACGTGTATGGTTGATCAACTTGCTTTCACCAAGCTCAACAGTCACTGTGTCACCCGTTTTACACTCCTCGCAGATCCTCACATCGCATTCCAGAGGATAAATCTCTCCGGTAGACACGGAATTACGGAAGAATATCCGGGCGTAGGAATCGGCCACCACCGCCGCGACTCCGGCGGCGCCTAGGGCTACAGGGGCGTGTTCGCGGGAGGATCCGCACCCGAAATTATCGCCTCCGATTACAATTGAGTACTTGGATTTGAACTCACCCGGATCTATGAATCGGGTCGGGTAGGATGCGGGAAGCCCGCACAGGGCGTACGACCCGAGCTTTTTGTACTCCTCCGGCTTCGATGGGACTAGGGTTAGGTACTCGGCGGGAATGATTTGGTCAGTGTCGATGTTGTCGCCGACGACGTAGCAGAGGCCGTGGAAGGTGGTGGCTGAGGCGGCGGCGGCGGCAGGGGGAGCAGATCGGAGACGAGTGACCGGGGCGCGAGACTTGGGGGGAGTGTTGCGAGAAATCAGGGATTCTGAGGGGCGAATACTGGTGCACGAAGAGAGATTGACGGAAGAGAAATGGGGAATAAGGGTAAGATTGGGTTGGCGGGAGGATAGCTTGAAAGCGACGGCGCCGTAGAAGGCTGTTGAAGCAGCCATAGATGGGAGCTGCGATCCACCCAAATGAGAAGAAACTCAGAGATAAGTGTTACTCATATTGAGCTTTGACAGTTGACATAGGCTCCAAATTCCCTTCTTTGGTTATTCACTAAAAAAGAAAAAAAAGGGAAGATAACAACATTGAAAAAAATAAACCTTGATAAGTTATACTTAGCAATGCTATTCTAAGTATACTCACCCCAAATGTACACCACCCCCTTCTCCACCACTCATTTTTATTTTATTTTTATTTAATCATTTTTTTGTGGACAAGGAAGGGGTGGGGTCAAATGGGGTACACATTTGGTGTACCCCTAGCATTTTTTCATACTTATATCATACGTTTGGATGTATCATGTTTTCTGTATATCTGTATAAATATTCGTTTCAAGTTACAAATGACTTATTTTCGAGGAATTTTAAAAAAATAGATGTTCAGTTACTCAAAAATATGTATTCAGTTACCAAAAAATGAGTACTCAATTACTCGTAAATGAGTATTCGTTACGAATGTATGGGAAAAATCCTACAACTGGTTGCATGGTATATAGTGCGTGCATATATTGTACGATTGGATATACATAAACTAGAGTACATCTGCGTGATACTCATTTTGGAGTGAATTAGTATTCATTTTCGCACAAAATATAAGTGTTCATTTTGGAGTGAAAGAATATTCATTTTGAAATAACATGATGTTCTTTTGATTCAATGCAGTGCTCATTGTGAAAAAACATGGTGTTCATTTACACACGTTTGTTCATTACAATTATAATATTAATTTACGAACAACGTAGTGTTGATTCTGAAACAATATAGTGTTCATTTTTAAACAATGCAATGTTCACTCTCAAACTACGTAATGTTCATTCTGAAGCAACATAGTATTTTTCTAAGCAATGAAATGTTATCACCTTAGAATACTAACAACTGAAAATGCCCACCACCACGCCACAAGAGTTACACCTACAAAGGAGCCGTGGGCTATAATTATGTTGTCAATGCCATGTCCATCACTGCTACAGTTTAGTCATTGTCATCGCCGCTACCACCTTCACCTGCTTCAACGCTTCACCTTGCTTGTTCCATCCACATATTGGAGGGTGGAGATCAGATAGTTGCGTCGGATCCGCATCTAGGGCTTCGTCACTTCGCCAATCACTCCAATTACCAGCTTTGCCACTTCGTCAATGCGTCGATCGCTGCAATTGTTGGCTGTACCGGAAAAACGATACAATCGGATGTTTTGTATCAGTTGTGAAGGATGTCGTGTAGATATTTAATTTGAAAACGAGTAAAACGATGCATTTGGCTTTAGGATCGCAAGAAAAGATATTTTTTATTTAAAAATCAGGCAATATTATTAGGATATCAAACCCATCTCCAAAACATCACAAATAAATGTTGGAGGGTTGTATCGCGCTCCACTACATCAGACATATAATCCGAAGGTCGTGCCAACAAATGAGTTACATGATCCGTAAACCTTTGAACAAAAGACACATAGACAAAACTAAATTTTGACGTCAATATTTTACAATAAAAAACCAAACCTAGAAAATATGAAAAATTTTCTTCCCTCGCCTAGAGAGAAAAATAGAGTGTCTGGTTATCCATCTCTATCGTGATCATCCGGTCTCCAAAACTTTAGAGATGAAAGCCGAGCCTAACGAAGGAGAGAAACTTGGTATTGTTTAGACCTCCCGTGTTTAATTGCACAAAAGATCAATTGACTCTCTTGCACAATGGTGTGGCAAAGTTGGTACTTGTCTATATAGTAGTGGGACACCAATTTAATACTGTAATACCGTAAAAGATCAAGTTGACACCAATTCAAAAATATATATAGTTTAAATTAAATACATGTAGTTGCAATTCAAATCAAACCAATCCAAAGTACATGATTTTAATGTAACTTCTAGGAAAGTCAATGTAAGTTTAATCTTACGTAAATTTGCGTGTTAAGTAAAACTGAAAAAAAATATTAGATGGTGGAGTACATTGATATTTATGCTCATTTGGTCTTAAAAAACTTAATGCACGTCCTATTTGAACCTACCAAAAAGTACTCACTCCCTTCAACCTTGTTTGGGAACATGTTTTTAATTATTGTTAGTGTTTAGAATATATTTTGAACAAAACTGATTAATTTTGAAAGTGTAAAATTAAACGCTATTGTTTGATAAGCTTTTCAAAATAACGTTGCCAAACAAGCACTTCATTTCATTTCTTCAGTAATGAAGATTTGACTTGCAATATTCAATCGTTTATTTTGTTAACTTTACAGAGTATCTTATGAATTCCGCAAAATTCAAACAATATAAAATTTTGTGGGACGAAGGTAGTACTTCCCCCGTCCGATAAATTCTTTCATGTATTGATTTTTATAATCAAACAGTGGCACCCTTTGATTACAAATTAAATATAACTTTGTTAACAAAATTTGATATATCAAAACTATATTCTAACATGAACTCAATTATATTGAATTTGCATCATAGCTAAATATAATTTTCATAATTTATAATAAAAAATATCACTATTTAACTTAAAAAATCAAATCAAGAAGAAATTTATGAGACGAGTGAAATATAACTTTGGTTCAAAGAAGTAAAGTTTCCACAAATCATATTGGGCCGGTTATTATAAAGGCCTAGGCCTAAACTTCACTGAACCCCAAAAATCTACAATAGCACACGTTAGATCAGCTCAAGCCCCGTCCCCCGCCCTTCTTCTGCTTGAATTTACAGAGCTAGAGGACGATCCAACTTGAACCCTCCATTCTCCAGGTTGGCTTAAATCTTCAAAAAAGCTTGAATTTTTTTCTTCTTCTTCAAAAACTGCACTGGAAATAGGTTCCATTATTGATTCAGTTAGGTCTTTTGCAGCGCCTTCCATTCGATTCAATTCACTGTAAATTCTGAAGTTCTTAGATCCTGATCCCTTTCACGGTTCTGCGATGGACATTACATTTTTTTTTAAAAATTTCATTTGAACAGATTGTCTCCATTTCCGAGTAGAGCTTGGGGGTTTTCGGGCATTTGGAGTTTGCTCCTAGTTCATGATGGTGGTATGATGTTTTATTTATGCAGTAAATTCTTCAAATTTTGTTTTTTTATGGATTAGTTTGGTTTCGTGAAATCTCTTTTGCCTTATTCGATAGGGTCACAAACTTCTTAAAGATGAAGCTACTGAAGAAAAGGGTGAGAGAGCAAGAATGGTAAGATGTTTGTGTATTACTTCGTATTATTTACTCTTGAGGAAAAATGTTTGGGAGGATAGTGTGGAATATTGGTGTTTTTTAATAAATAGATTATGATAATATGATAGAATTTCCTGGCTAGAGAAAAATGTGGAGTATGTTGTCGCAATAATAATAATAATAATAATAATAATAATAATAATAATAATATTGATAATACTAATAATAGTATAATAATAATAATATTGATAATACTAATAATAGTATAATAATAATAATAATAATAATAATAATAATAATAATAATAATAATAATAATAATAATAATAATAATAATAATAATAATAATAATAATATGTTATCTTAACCAAGCTTCAAATGATGTCTTGTTGAGTTCAGGCTTCCTTTGTGGGGGCAATGGCAATTGCTGATTTAGTGAAGACAACATTAGGGCCAAAGGGGATGGTAAAATATATCTCCAATCTGTTTGACCAGCTTATTAAGTTTTGGGATGTGCTTAAGTATAGCTTTAAGGCTTGCAATTTTATTTCTTAACAGGATAAAATTCTACAGTCAACAGGAAGGGGTCATAGTGTCACTGTTACAAATGATGGAGCTACAATCCTCAAGTCCATTCATATAGACAATCCTGCCGCTAAAGTTCTTGTCGGTATGACAGTATCCTTCGTATTGTCTATGGGTGGGTGGGGGGAAGGGTGAGTTTTTTGATGGTTGAATTGTTGTTCTAGATTGACGGATAGATAATGAGGTGAGGGATGTGTTGAATCTTAGGTCAATCCTCACCATGTGGGCATTGCCATCTTTTACTTAGTTATCACATTGAATGAGTTAGAGTGTATTTAAATCGATGAGCTGACTAAAACCCTATGACAAAGATATCAGCTTGGAACAATATTAAAGTATAAGAGGTTGAAGAGACGATATAGAGCATATCTACTCTGGCAATTCCCTTAAATTGTTAAACCCATGACGCAGGGTATGGAGGTTTGTTACTTTGTTGAGGTTGCAACTCAATAGGAAGAGTTTATTTTGGGTAAGTCATAGAACTGTAGAGTTAGAATAAGGTTGTTATTAAGGGATTTCTATGGCATCCCACCATTAATAGCATGAGGATCAATAACTAAAAAGTAGTTTTTTTACATCAAACAAAAGTCAATGTCTCAAGGGTAGTGAGTTGTTCTAAACATGTTCTACACTCCAAGTTGCGAATAGGGTGACAAGCTTGAGGAGGAGAGGGTGAAAGAATTTGTCCGCGTCAATAAGAATGGATTTCAAAGTGCCAGTGAGATGATGGACAAAGGAAAGAGATTACTTGCTTCAAATCCATCCAAGTTATCAATATGACCCACTCTATTTGCTTCAGAAGAACAAGGCAATTGACATTTAAGAAGATGTGGATGAGTTTGAGATGGATTTTATTGACTTCATTGAAAAACTTGTTTTTTAGTCTATTTTAGATCACGTCTTCCATCCCAGCCATTACAACAATGAGTATCTATTTTGGCTAAAAAAAAGGAAAAATTGATAGTTTTAAACAAAGGACATTTGGGTGCACAAAGCATCCCCAAAATATCTAAACAAAAATAAAACTTTCAATTTTATCCTTTGTTTCCCGCCAAAATAGATATTCACTGTTGTAATGGTTGGTGTGGAAGAGGTGATCTAAAATAGACCAAAATATTAATATCGAATTGCTTGCTCTATCACATGAAGCAAATAGAGTGTATCATATTGATAATTTCGATGGATTTGAAGCAAGTAATTTGTTACTCTATTTATCATTTCGCTGTTATTTTAAAGTCCAGTCTTATAGATATTACCAGTTTCTTCCACCTTCTCCTCTACGTGTTAATTAGCCTCTTCCACCCTCGCCTCCACAAGTTTATTCTACAAGAGGATGATGAGGGAGGGTGGAAGAGAGAGCGATGAATAACAAACTGCGGTGAGAAGGTCTTACATTGGCCATCTATCTGGAGTTTAGAATTCATTTGTTGCTATAACTTGGAGTGTGGAATAATTGGTTTGGAACAACTATCCTTGAGACATTGACTTTTGTTTGTTATAAGAATCTTGACTTTTTAACAATTGATTCTCATGTTGTTGACGGTGGGAAACCACAAATTGCCTAAATGACAACTCTCTTCTAAGTTCTAATTCTATAGTTGTATAACTTACCCAAAATGGAGAGTCTTCCTAGTGGGTTACGGGTTACCTGACAAACCTCCATACCCTGCATCTCAACTTTTACAATTTAATAAGGGAATTGTGAGAGTGGATATGCTCTCGATCGTCTCTTCAATCTCTCAAACCTTAATGCTATTCCGAAGTCCGAACTGACATCTTTGCCATAGGTTCTCCATCAGCTCACCGGTTTGAATACAAATTCAATGTAATAAACTAGTTAAAAAATGCCAATGCCCACATGGTGAGGATTGGCCCAAGATCCAACACATCCCTCACCTCATTATCTTTTCGCCAATCTAGAACCTTTTTTTTTGTATTTTAAAATTTATGAAAAACAAATTTCTGTGGACCCTTAGATTTCTTTTTTGTTTCACTGGTAATTGTTTGGTGAGGGGATGCACTAAAAGCGTTTTACATTTTATGGGTTGTTAAATGTCGAATTCAATGAAACAATAATATAACTAAACAATTTACCTTATCAATGTTGTTGAACCTTAACACCTTTGCCAGACATCTCTAAAGTCCAAGATGATGAAGTAGGGGATGGTACTACATCGGTAGTTGTTTTGGCGGGTGAACTTTTAAAGGAAGCAGAAAAACTGGTAAACTCAAAGATTCATCCAATGACAATTATTTCAGGTATGTTTCATATCAAGTAATTCATAGTTTCATATGTTTAGGACCTTCGGCTTGCGGTTTAATGTCAACACTCATGTGCTATTTCTTGTTGACCATTATGCTTTGATATTTTGGGTAGTATGTTTCTGTTGTAATACCTTCAATTAAGCTTTTGTTTTTAACCTTAGGGTTCCGCATGGCTGCTGAATGTGCACGCAATGCATTGTTAGAAAAGGTTGTCGATAACAAACATGATGCAGGTATATATGATGCAGGTCATGCCATCATTCAAATAATGAAACATCTTTAGACCATTGCTTTATAAATCGTGTCTTGTTTGAATTCATTATGGCATACACTATATACAAATCATAAACCCAAATAGAGTTAATGGTATTACTATGAAGAGGGTGTTAAATCATATTTTGTGATGCTGGGGGGAATGTAGAGAAATTCAGATTAGACTTGATGAAGATTGCAATGACTACATTAAGTTCCAAGATTTTGTCTCAAGACAAGGAGCATTTTGCCACGTTGGCTGTTGATGCTGTCATGCGGTTGAAGGTATATTGCATCTTCATATACTTTAATATTCTTATTAAGTTGCGAGATCTTTGTTGCTCAATTTTAATCCTGGTATTTTACCTGTCCCCCACACCAAGTTTTTCAGTTGATGAAATAATTGGTTACGAGTAAGATTTAATTTTAGTCGTTTTTCTTTTTTTCTGGTGCATATAGGTAGTAAATATCATTTTTCTCTTTTATCCTTTAACACTTTCTTTTGGTACACTTTTTAAATTGTTTATGTCGCATTTGATTATCTGTTGATTTTTCTGTGAAGTTAGTGTTATCTTAACAGTTCAATGTGTTGCCGGTTTGATATGGCAGGGTAGTACCAATCTTGAGTCAATTCAGATTATTAAGAAGCCTGGAGGTTCACTTAAAGACTCATTCCTAGATGAGGGGTGAGCAAACTAGGATTACTCGTCATCATTGGTGAATGAATGATATTATTGTCTATATGCATTTTAGCTGATATGGTTTTTATATGGATCAATCATGTTTTATTATTGCTAACTAATTGCAAGTGAATTCTTGATTCAATGACAGTCAAGATTTATCTGCGTAGTCATGAAACCTTTGGTGGCCTTTGTCTATCTTAATGAATATTCTTTTGTCATCGTGTCTCATTAGCCATACACGATACCCTTTCCTAGATGTACCATAGGAACTCATAGAGGCCTTTGAAGTCGGGTCTTTTGTGTTCCCATACTCTAATCTCATTGTTCTTTAAGCTACCCGTCTGTTACATCTACCCTTATCATATAAGGCGTTATTTTGTTAACCTTTGTGCTTTTACCGTTTTCTTGCTGTTTTCTTTTCCCTTCTGCATTAACGACACACTTATTCTTATCCCTTTTGTCGTACCAGAAATGTGTGGAGCTCTTCTAATCTTCTATAGTTCTATTCACTATCGCACTATCAATTCTCACATGCATTAATTTTTCAATTTTCTTTAATTTTCATCTTTGATATTTGAATCTAGATTTTATTTTGTAATGATTAACATCTTCATCCATCTTACCGTAGTTCAATGTCCAATGTGAACATGAACATTTGGTGTGCGGTTAATCTATTTTTTGAGTATATTGATTTGGGGCATCATGTTTTTGACTGGCTTTGAGGTGCGATTCACTTGGATATAGTGATTTTAATTTTCTATTGGGTATTTAGGAATTTGAAATTGAGTTAGATTCAAACTTCAATTCTTATTTGCTTCTGATTTCGATAAATGCATTTCATTTATATTTTCAAATCCCTAAATTGAATTCAAATTGTATAGATTTTTTTAAAGTTTAGGCTTTGAAATTGGTCTTTTATTCTTGATTTTGGAGTTTCAACAAATTGAGTTAGATTGGAACTTCAATTCTCATTTGCATGTGGGTTTCATTTAGTTTTTGATTATTTTTGGAGAATGCTCATTTTTATAGATTTGATTATAAAAAGACTATATGTCAGAAGATATTAATTTATCATTTATGTAGGTTTGTGTAATTTCTGTGTTTGGTTTTTGACATAAACATCTTAATAGTCAATGTATTATACTTCTAACTTTTATGCTTTGTTCCTTAAGGCATGCTTGACTACTTCATCTACTTAGTGCATGTGTGCATATGCTATGGTGTTATTGATTAAACTACACACAGATTGTATGTGTACTATGTACTGTATTCGTACTGTGAATTTAACATTTCTAGGCGTTGAAGGGTACTGTAAATGCCACACATTTTTAAATGCAAGAGGTGTTCTTTCCCTGGTCTCCCTAATTAATTTTTGTCTATGTTTTGGGCCAGGTTGCCGTATTCTTACTTCTCTTTTCATTGCCACTACCCACATCCACCATTTGATCTTCTCTAACCATTTCAGTTCATTGTCTCCACCAGTTGGTGTCTTCTTTGCCAGATAAAATCATCTATATCACCGAGTTTAATCTTCGGATTCAGTTTTAAATCCGAGTAATTGCATTGCTAGGTTTGAAGGATTACATCTATTCTTAGTTGCCCATCTATTGCTGTGCCTCTTAAATTCTAACTTAATGTTTCCTATTTTTAGCCTTATGCAAGTAGTCACAAAACAAGAGACCATCATGAGCATTTAGCTTCTTTGCATCATCCCATAAGAATTGCATTTGGCGCTGCTATAATATAATTGAGCAAAGACAAGAATATGGCTGTAATGGCTTAAAGTTTCTTACTCTAAATTTTGTTTAAATAGAAAGCTACTAGCCTCACTTGTTATTGCAACTGTTGTAAAAGATGATGTCACCCAATTACCAAATGTTAAGCATGAAGATGTACTCCCTACTTTGCCTATATTTGCCACCAATTACTCCAACAGAAACTCCCGAGAGCAACACAAAAAGCTTTTAAAAAACTCATCATATCTACGAACAACAGTGAATCAATGCATCCAAATGCCAGAAAAAGTGAAGAAAAAGAAACAAAGCTAGCGACAAACTATCTCAATGGTGATACTTTCTACTTGTAGAATATGCGATGTAAATATTAAGTAGATAATATAAGCTGCTTTTTGCCTCTATTTTGTAAACAAGTGTTATTATATTCCAATGTGTAAAAACTTCTTGTAAGGTGTTCAATTTGTTTTTCTTAGTTCCACAATCAAAGTAGAACAAATGTTACATGCGTTGGGTATCCATCGCACGTAGTGCGTTGTAAGCTAGTGATGTTGATATGCTCATTAATTGCATAATTATTTTGGAGGGGTTCCCCTGATATTAGAACCCCATGTCATCTATGACATGGGCCCCAATTGGAGCCCCTACGGTGTCTTGTTTGTAAAACTGACAGCACCTACCCCCTAACCCCCACCCTCGAGGTCTTGAACCCACCCCCATCCCCTTCAATTGCACCCCTCAAATTTATATGTCTTTGGACTCAATATTTTTACTCCAAAATCAAATAAATTTGGGGGTGCCATTGCAGGGGTGAGTTCGGGCGAGGTGGGTGGTTACCGGGGGTTTGGGGGCGCGGGGATTGTCAATTTTACGATGGAGGCACCGTAGGGCCCCGGGTCATCTTATGACATTGCTTAGCAATATGAAGGGAACCGCCCCTTATTATTTTTACCTTAGCATATACCTGTTCTAACTTAAGGTGTTGCCTGTAGGTTTATTCTGGACAAAAAAATTGGAGTTGGTCAACCTAAACGAATTGAGAATGCAAAGATCTTGGTGGCTAATACTGCAATGGATACCGATAAAGTAAAGATTTATGGTGCACGTGTCCGTGTTGACTCAATGGCTAAAGTTGCTGATCTAGAAACAGCTGAAAAGAACAAAATGAGGGAGAAGGTGGAAAAGATTATCGGTCACGGAATCAACTGTTTCGTTAACAACTGATATATAACTTCCCAGAGGAGCTTTTTGCCGATGCTGGGATTCTTGCTATAGAACATGCTGATTTCGATGGTATTGAGCGCCTTGCCTTGGTCACTGGTGGTGAGATTGCATCAACTTTTGACAATCCAGAATCAGTTAAGCTGGGCCACTGCAAACTTATTGAGGAAATCATGATTGGCGAGGATAAGTTAATTCACTTTTCCGGCGTTGAAATGGGCCAGGCATGTACAATCGTCTTGAGAGGCGCAAGGTACTTATCACTTATCAGTAAACCCTTTCAGTTTTTTTCCCTAAAAATCTTTCCTCTTTCACTTTTCATCCGTCCAAAAAAACATTTCCACTTTCTATTCAAAAGTCACTTTTGCCCCTACTATTTCTTACCCTACCTATCACATCATATCTATTCACTATGAATCTACCCATCACATCTAGGGGAATTTTGGGAAACTCAACACTAAAATACACTCCCCTTAAATCCCTTAAAAGTCAATGCCGGAAGGATTTTAAGGGACGAAGTGAGTAAAAGATTTCACTTGTGTGGCACAATAGATAGAGATGAAACTGAAATATCACACTCCCTCCGTCCCAGTGGCTTAATATTTTTTATAAAATCAAATAAAGTTAATGAACTCTCCAACTTTACCAAGTGTGTGTTGTGTAGGTTACTATGCCTAAAGAAAATAAAATCAAATAAAGTAAATGTGCTTTTGTGACATTATGACATTCTTCTTCTTCTTCCATTTCGGCATATACAGCCCTCATGTTCTGGATGAAGCTGAAAGATCCCTGCATGATGCCTTGTGTGTTCTGTCACAAACGGTGAATGATAGTCGGGTATTACTTGGTGGTGGATGGCCGGAAATGGTGATGTCAAAGGCAGTAGATGGTTTGGCTAGAAAGACTCCCGGGAAAAGATCTCTTGCCATTGAAGCTTTCTCAAGGGCACTTTTGGCCATTCCAACAATCATTGCTGACAATGCCGGTTTGCATTGTGTTTCGATCAATTTTCTTCACAAATTGGATGCGACTAATGGTCACTAGAACTCTGGCAGTGTAGGACTCACGTTTTGGTAGTTGGTGAAATTTTGGCAAATAGCCTCTGCTAAGATCTACCCACACTGTCTCAAACAAAAGCCTGTTTTAAAAGTTTGTCCCCAAAAACACTTTTTTGTTACAACAACCTAATTAGCTTTGATGAGGTTGTTTTTCGAAAGTATACAAGAAAAAGTAGCTTTGGTGCAACACTTTTTTGTTACAACAACCGGTTCTAGAAAATATACAAGAAAAAGTAGTTTTTTTTTTTAAATTATTGAAGCTTATTTTCTGTCAAAGTCAAGTTCTCTAAAAAGGCTTGATTTAGCTGGAATATGATCATAAGTTAAGATACACAAAATAGAATAAACTTCAAAATGTGGGTAGGATTTATGCTTTCCATGAGTTTTCCACTGCCAGAACTAGAAGATGATGTGCCTTAGCCATGTTGAACTCTCTTTTTTGGGAGGGAGGTAGTAATATTATTACTATTATTATTAAAACTATTATTATCATCATTATTATTATTATTATTCCAGAATTCTAAAGGCTATATCAACAGTTCTCAGTCTAATTCTACACCTTTCTACTTGACCCTATGTTTGGTTCAAGGAACTTGGAAGGAAAAGAAAAGAAAGGATTTTCTTTCATTTTTCTCACCGAAATTTTTTCCCCTCCTCTTAGTACATTTTGTCTTCTCATTTTCTTTTCTGTTCCTCTCTAACCAAAACAAGAAAAATTATTTTTCATCTCATTTTCTTTTTTCTCCTCTTTCAAATTCCTTTAACCCAACATTTTGTGAAGGAATTGTTAGCGTATATTTATTTATTTATTTATTTATCTCCATGTATGTATTTATTTCCTTGTAAGTAATCCTTACCATAGTTGTATTAGGAAATTTGCTTGTATATATACTTTGTGAATACTCAATGGAAACCAATTCAGTCTTTCACAAAATTCTACATGGTATCAGAGCCAATTCCCTGGGAATAGCCGAAACCCTAGGCTCGCCTCTTTTCACGGTGCCGCCACCGTAATTGCACCGACCGCCTCACGACGGTCGTCTCTGCCGCCGGCTCACGTCGGTCAAATTCTCGCCGCCTCATGTCGGCGATCCTCTTACACCGGCTCACGTCGGTTGCTGTTTTTCTTCCGCCGCCATGACAGCCGAAACTCCCAAAAAGGTACGGCTTATTCACAATCCCACCTCTCCCTACTACATCCATCCGTCCGAGAGTGCGGGTAACTCGTTGACAAAGCATCTTCTCAAGGGAGACAATTATGACGTTTGGGAGAAAACAATTGTCAACGCCCTTGAGGGGCGCAGTCGCGCCGGTTTTCTTTTTCCTTCAGGATTTCCCAAACCCACCGATGAACAGGAACTTGCCGCTTGGAAAGCTAATAATTCTATTATTTGTTCGTGGATTTGCAATAGTGTTGATGAGCATATTCAACCATCTATTATCTCTCATAAAGTGGCTCATGAATTGTGGTTGGATCTCAAAACCCGTTATGGGGGTTCGAATGGTCCTCGGGTTCATCAATTAAAATCTGAGTTCCAATCTCTACGTCAAAAGGGTCAAACTGTGGTTGGCTACTACAACCAATTTGTGACCCTGTGGAACAAGCTATACGGATCTGTGGACCCAACGTGC